GGGGGGGGGGTAATCTGACGTACAGTAGTTAGCTTTTTCTATTGCAGTATGTGCCAGGCCGCCTTCGCGCGATTAATAAGTGATTGAGGGAACAGAACAGGGAAGGAAGACGCAGATCCTATTCCCTAACCAGAACCCGAACCCAAATTCCCCGATTGTTTGCTTAGTCCAATGTGTTTGCTGAATACAACAACTCCTCCGAAGGCCCACGTATCTGCCGCATGCAATTTTCTTCTCTATATTTACAGCTTGTGAAAGAGGGAAGGCTGAGAACGTGACGGCGGTAGGGTCGCCCTGGATGTTCTACAAGACAATATTTTATTCAGAACCATGGTACCCTGTGTAAATGCCAAGCAACATGTGGAAGGGGTGTGTTTTTCATACCCCGCGGACCCCCTTCTGAACACTCGCGTGGGAACGCGGGAAGCGTTCCGCAAGGTCTGCTGCTCTCACGTCCATGTGTGTCGGCAACCCAGAGTTTTTTTTGGGAGGGAGCAGGAAGATGACGGTGATGGGCTTGAGTCGTACGACACATCACATGTTCGATTACGGAGCCTGAGATGCAATCTAGTCTCGAGCACCCTGCTTGTACCGGAAGAGAAAAGGGTGAAGTCATGTGCGCGCATGCCATGGTAGACTGTTGACATCGAATCCCAACGGTACCGGGACGGAGCGATAAGGGTAGGCGCAATAACTTGACGTTATTTCGAGAGCTGTACGTTCGATCTCCCACGACTCAAGTCATGCGTAGAGGGAGGAGGGAACAGGCCGCGATTCGCGATTTGTTGTGGCAGAAGTAAAGTCAGTCCGTTGCAGTCGCCGTGTTGGTTGCATCCTTGTTGCACTTGTTTGCCAGGCACGGAAACAAGTGGGGTGGTAGCGTGCCGTCCATGAGGGTATTCTAGCTGTGACATGGTCACTTAAGATCTTGAGTACAACATGCGAGTGATGAAAAAGTGTGTACGCGCGTTTCCATGACTTGCGCAAGCCGCGATGCATACTTTTTGTTCGACGCTGTGATTCTGCTCGTCAATGCGCAGTTTTTTTTTTCATTATTACATGCCGCCCCCATTGATTCTGAGTGTGGGGAGATACTGTCCCCTATGACCTCATAGATGAAAAGGCCGCTTGCTGGTGGGCTTCCCCCCACCCCCCGATTGTTGAACACGCTTCTTCATGTTCAGGTTGCGGCGAGGCAAGTGGAGCGACGTAGCCGCCCGCCGACTCGAAGAAAAAAAGGGGACCAGGCCGACGGTCGAAACCCCGGGGATGCAGCAGAATCACCCCCTCTCACCGCCCCCACGACGGCGGTGGCGTCGATGGAAACGAGAAAAGCCGGGGATGAGTCTATAGCAGCCCCTGATAGAACCACTGCCGCTGATCTGGAGGAAGACTCTGGGGTGAAGGGGACGGCTGGGACTGATGATATCGGAGAGGGGCGGCGGGGGACTGCGGCGTGTTTGGCGGAGTCCAGCGATGAGTCGCTGGAGCAGGAGTTGGCGCGACGGCGCAGCGGTGTTGACCGGGATGCCGCGGTTGCCGCTGATGCCCGGGGTGTCTGTGAGCGGAAGAACGGGGGCGTTTGCGTGCCGTGCTTTGAAATCGTGTAAATGAATGGCGGGGGGGGCGCAGGGAGTAGTTGGGCAAAATGACTTTTTGTAAACACGCAAGGGAGCTTGTTGATTTCGTGGTGGGAAGTAGTGGTGATCGTGGTGATGTTTCTGCGGTCGTTTTTTTTCCGTCTCTCCCCGAAATGATTGTGGTGCGTGGATGGGGGCCCTTGATTTCTGCATGCTCCTCGGCGTAACGATCATGTTGGCGATGGCTTTTCCATTGTGGCCTCGATCTTGTTGCCTCCAGGCATGCGGTCGAGCCCGCGTTTCTTGAAAAGGAACGAGCAGAGTGAACTCGTAGGCGCGCACGGCGTATGTAGGTTAATCGAGGTAACCCCACCTTGCGACCTTCGTCGTTGGGGGCTTCCCCCCGCAGCACACACACACAAACACCCGGCCGGGAGCTAAATGATGGGACCCGTCAGGTGTGCATGTCAATGGCGGGTTCTTGCACTTGCTGGCGCTTCGAAACTGAGCGAGTGTTTTTGGACCAAGTTCCTATGTTGGACAGTTTTGTAGTGCAAAGTGGCCGCGTTCGCACGTGGTATGCTTGGCTCGTTCGACCATTGTTTCGTTGGTTTCAGATATAGTTTCTAATTCCGTGTGAAATCTATGGTGCATTGCTGATTGGTTGCAGGTCGATCAAGTAAATCCGTTACCCGGGTGTGTTTGAACTAGCATCGACCTCACGGGTCACCAATGAAAACACGACAATCTTTTTGCACCATGAGAAATGCAACCACGCTTTTTAATCTCATGGTTCTACCGACAGGGGGGATGCAGAAGTTGGACGACAGTCTCCAGCTTCTGAAGTGCAAGGAGTAGGCTCAATACCACCAGGCAGCATTGTTGTTGCATCATCTCGTTCTCCCATGCTAGCACCACACACGGCCCCGTACCGGTTTGATCGTTGTCCGGCTGCCCTTTGTGCTATGGAGATTGACATTTCTATTGTTATAGTGTCATCGCGGCCATCCCTGTGACTGATTGTGTGTGTGCGTTTTTTTTAGCGTCACCCACGCTAACCGTGATTGATGTAGAGCTTACTTTACTTGCCCAGCGGCAATGCCGAAGAACAATGCAACCCATTTCGCCCTAGAAAATACACCAAGCCTGACCAAGTGCCCAAGAAATGGGGTGTATTTGAAGCCACTAAAAAACAACATAGTGAGAAATCATCTTCCCTTTTCACGCGGACTACTGCTGTAGACTTTCCCCAGAATATTGGGAGGAACACTTTCGCGGCACACATGGAATGTCGTTCATGCATCTAGTAAACACGAGGATTTAGTTTTGGTTTTCGTCGCACTTGTTGTTCGCTGTCCGTATGGATTGATTGGTGCTCTGCTCCAGGTACGACGACGACGTTAGGATTCATCTGTTCGTTGTATGGTGGCCCCTTCCAAAAAGATTCATGCCAATCTACAGTAATGTCGGAGACAATGCGTCGCACACACATATTGAAATTGACCCGAAAAAACTGCGCGCGAAGACCGTCGTCGTTCGGCACAGGCAGTCGTACCTCGCCGCAGCTGTCTTCGAAAGTGAAATGAAATGCGAATAGCTCATCATCACCATTATCCAGGCTTGACTCGCTATGCACATACATGTAAACTCCTGTAGAATTTGTTTGAGTTTATCAAGTCCAGACTACATTATAATGACTAGTAAAACCTAGACTTGCCGCAGCTCAGCCATTTTGTTTAGTCTAGATAGTCTAATCATCCCGCTCACCGTTCGTTATTTGCTTGAATTGTTTTCCTAGTCTAACTGTGGAATTTTGATGAAACGATATTTCTGCGCCAATCGCTTCCTGTTTGCGGACGGCAACCGGTATCAGACAACACCATCAGTGGTGTGGTGTCCACCCCTATACCACCTAAGCACGCATCACCATCCGATGAGCCGGTCCCAACTTGGTGAAACTTGTCTCCTTCATCCGCACTATGGTAAGTTAGCCTGCAACCACGGGAATCGACCGCGTCGAGTGTTGGATCAGTCGGACATACGAAGGTACTGGGTAAAGAGAGATCGGAACGGTTATTAATGTGAAGACAACAACAACAACAACAATGGTATTCAAAGTTATTGCAGATCTTTTAGCGTCGTCGAGCACAAATCAGACTGCACAGCACCGTTCGATGCTGTACTGTATGAGAGTTTTCAACATTCACTCTGCTTGTGACCCGAGCTAAAACTGTTTATTGGTTTCGAGCCAAGTGCTGCTGGTTAAGCACGGCTAAACCGGTTGAAAGGAATGAAGAGATGGTAAAGTCGTTTAGCAGGTTGCCCTCGTAGACAAGCAACAGGAGGGAGTGGGCGCCACGTGCGCCACAAAGCATCAAGCAACAGTCGAAAGAAATTCACCGACCTAAAGACGCATAGACTTTTCGCAACTCGGAACAATTCCAACTACCAGACACGTCGGGAGATACCCCGAAGATCCACGCCTGCCTGTGGAACGGTCACTTGCACACTTTCTCTCTCTCAAACCATACATGAGTACTACCGAAGTAGCGTTCGTAAGGATGACATAATCCACTTCACGGACACTAACTTGGTGCCACGTGTCTCCTTCGCCCATTCTTGACATGTAGTCTACACATCTTTACGAGAACGCTTCTTGGCGTCGTTGACCATCATCATCAGACAACTTTGCGCTCGGTGCTGCTGTTGCTGCTGTGTTCCAGAGGTCCGTATCTCAAGAATTTTCAACGTGTAGTCTACTCTTGACCCACCATAATCATCCGATGAGACCGTTGGAACGGTGCCACTTGTCTCCTTCTCCCATTTCAAGGTTTCAAGATTGTGATTTTTTTCAAGAAGGGGTCGACAGACAAATTATTTATTGCTGTAGTCTGCTTGCTGTTCCATGTTCCCTTTCTGAGAATTTTCAGAATTTAACCGTGTGACCCACCCATTTATCTATCCATCCAGATCCCACCCTCTCACTTCTTCTGTGCTCACCAGGCGCACCCCCTTCGAGACCAAGGCAAGGGCGCATTCTTCGCGGAGGGTTGGCTTACAGTAGTCTAGGTCACGTCCTGTGCGTAATGCGAGGTCTCACAGCAGTAGCCACGTGCCTGCCATTGGCGGCCCCGGCCTTGCTCGCGGGCGCGTCGCATGACACATTCTCGTCTCCTACGGTGGACTCAAAGCTACTGACAGCAGGATATGCCATGCCCGCAGACGAGCCGGAACGGCCGGGAAAGGACAATAAGCTTGCAGTTGTTGTTCCTGCGTACAACGGGGATCTCGATCGCGCGGTTGCGTCCCTCGGGCGGTGGCCAACCGACTGCTCACCCTTAACCGTCCAGTACGTGGATCTCGTGCTGTACTACGCGGAGGGAGAGGAGGACAGCGAGGCCGTGGGGGCAGCGGTGGAGATGATCGCTGCCACCGCCGGCCGCTGCTTCGCTGAAGTTCGCACCGTGTACGCGCATCTAGAACAGGATGTGAGACGCTATCGTAATACTTGGTCACAGGACCCACAAACTTCGTGGTAGAAGACATGTGTACAAGTAGAAAAATAATCGTCCACGGGGAGGGCCGTCGCAAATGCCTCCCACAACACGGATGTATGTTCCTTTCGGGGCGTGGGCGTCGTTATTAGTAATCGTATTAGTCATCGAATGTGTAAACTATCTAGGAGCCCGCCGGAGCCATAAATGGTTGAGGTCTCGGAATGCAAGCAATGTTCACCGGGGCCAGGTGGTGTGGAATACTTTGTCTCGTTCGTCGTCACAGAGTAGACGACTCATGCATAGATAGGAGAAAAAGAAAATGACACCCACAAAAAATGATGAGGTAATATTATGACCGTTGGCTGTGAGAGGTTGCTCACACTGGTAGCGATGCGAGGCATCCTCGAAACAGCAATGAACGGACACATGCATATGGAGCTTCGATTTTCCTTATTTTGTGTCGGGAGTGGGTTCGTTTGAAAACGTGCGTAACAATCGAGAACAAGAACGAGTGATAATGTCTACATATTCGCGGAGTAAGTGAAAAACGCTATACATACCCAGGAACTACTTGGAGACTAGAGCTGGACCACGCGTTTGTTTGTCATCGCCGCGGTGCGATACGCACCTTGTCCGCATCACGAATGTATGAAAAACCTGTTCAATAACAAAAGAAGACGAAATTTTGAAAGAGGAGAACAATCAGACAAAAGGTGATAGGGCGGCAGGACATTCGTTCGACATAATACTTCATACCATGATACACACGCGACCGGAGTATTAGCGGATGAACTCTCCGAACTGACGTGCCGTGTACGTTTGGGTGGAATGCAGTATGTATAAGAAACTTCTCCATGCTTGATTGTATTAGTCTTGTAATATCTGTGGTCGCGTAAAATCATGCCGGGATACCAACGGGTTGATGGCCGTTTGGTACTCCTATCGGGATATACGGGGGACGCCAACGGCACTGGCCTGCCAACAAAAAAAATCAGGATATTTTGGGGGTTTTAGTCTGAAGCAATAACCAAATACCTGGTACGAAGTCTATCTATCTGTGCAAGTACACAATATATACTGAAGTGAACATTCTCGGAAACAACAGGTTCGACAGCTTTAGAAACAAACCTCGGTGGGCGACTCTTCTATGGTCTATCCCGTACCGGAAGCATCCTACAGCCATCTATCTCACCAGCGCCTGAAAGGGACCAATGAGTCCAAATGACGACATCGGCCTCGACACACCAATTGATCTGTATAGTGAATATTTTACACAACTTACAACAGGACAGCGATTGTTTCTCCCTGAACTCCGTTGCCCAAAACGTCTGATACCGTGCCGCCCCTGGCACAAAAAAACAACCTCAGGAGGACATGTACCCGAAAGGTCCCTCGGTGATGTTTTTCAAGATGTTCCTGGACGAGGGCGTCCGTGCCGAGCTCTCGGAGTATGACGCCCTCGCCATCATCGAATGGGACGTGCTGGTCGCCACCGACCGGTCGTTCGAGGAGCTCTACCACGCGGCATTTCGGGTGAACGAAGAGTTCTGGGTCAAGGGCAGCAACCTCGAGGGTACCAACTTCCACTCCAGCGCCGACGTGACGGACATGTGGAGGGTGATGGGTCACATCAACGGGAACGCCATCTACAACAACAACGACCCGGCGTTTGCCGAGTACGTGGACTACACCCGCGCCCGGTTCAAGTACCGGTACCCTTACGACGTCGCTCTCTGGCTCACCATCTCGGATTTCCCGTACAGCTGGCCCCTTTACCAACGGTACTCGAGAAAGTTCGTCACCACCAACCTGGTGAGATGGAGCAACACCCGAAGAAACACGAAAAGGGGGGGGGGGGAGGAGGGGGTATACTCATAGTCGTGCATACTGTAGTCGTTAGACCATTGACCTTGCCTCCCTGCAAAGCCGGAACGGAGCACGCAGGGTTTTCACCGAACCAGGCTCTCACATCACCCAGCGCAAAGCGCCGTGATATTTTCGAGGCGGGGGGGGGCGTACTCTTATGTTTTGCATGTCTTAGCGGTTAGACCATTGACCACGCGTTCTCGAGAGGACGGAGCATTGTTCCCACAGGACCCATCACCGATGGTCAATCGTTCCTTTCTACTTTGCCGAAGGTGGCTCAATAATGTCTTCCCTAGTCTGTCTATCCCAACGATATCCCTTCCCGCCTTTTCAACCCACCTCCTATGCCCCACTACAGCNACAGGACCGATCACCGATGGCCAATCGTTCCTTTCTACTTTGCCAAAGGTGGCTCAAAAATGTCTTCCCTAGTCTGTCTATCCTAACGATATCCCTTCCCGCCTTTTCAACCCACCTCCTATGCCCCAGTACAGCTACCGTCCTTTCCTCTCTATTCCATGCCTCAAACATCTCCCTGTACGTTCCATCTATTTTTCCCAGCTCAGTCACGTACACTTCCCTCTCCTTCTTATACCACGGACATTCCGCGACTAACTGAACGCGGTCTTCGCATTCGAAGCCGCAATCACATTTGAACTCGTCGTCTTC